TGCTTAGCTTCGCTTCGCTTCGCTTCACTTCGCTTAGCTTCGCTTCGCTTTCGCTTAGCTTCGCTTCGCTTAGCTTCGCTTTGCTTCGCTTAACTTCGCTTTGCTTCACTTAGCTACTCTTTGCTTAGCTTCGCTTCTCTTTGCTTCGATTAGCTTCGCTTGGCTTTGCTTCGCTTCGCTTCGCTTTGCCTCGCTTAGCTTCGCTTAGATTCGCTTGGCTTTGCTTCGATTCGCTTAGCTTTGCTTCCCTTCGCTTAGCTTCGCTTAGCTTTGCTTCGCTTCGCTTCCCTTAGCTTCGATTCGCTTCCCTTCGCTTCACTTCGCTTCACTTTGCTTCGCTTAGCTTTGCTTAGCTTCGCTTCGCTTAGCTTCGCTTAGCTTCGCTTCGCTTCGCATAGCTGCGCTTTGCTTCGTTTTGCTTCTCTTAGTTTGGCTTCTCTTTGCTACGCTTCTCTTTACTTCTCTTCGCTTCGCTTCGCTGAGCTTCGCTTTGCTTCGCTTAGCTTTGCTTAGATTCGCTTAGCTTCGCTTCGCTTCGCTTAGCTTCGCTTAGCTTCCCTTCGCTTCGCTTAGCTTCTCTTCACTTTGCTTCGCTTAGCTTCGCTTCGCTTCGCTTAGCTTCGCTTAGCTTCATGTTCGCTTCACTTATCTTCGCTTCGATTAGCTTCGCTTCGCTTCGCTTAGCTTTCTGTTCGCTTCGCTTAGCCTCGCTTTGCTTAGCTTGGCTTCGCTTCGCTTAGCTTCACTTTGCTTCGCTTAGCTTCTCTTAGCTTCGCTTCGCATTGCCTAGCTTCGCCTAGCTTTGCTTAGCTTTGCTTCGCTTCGCTTCGCTAAGCTTTGCTTCGTTTCACTTTGCTTCGCTTCGCTTCGCTTAGCTTCGCTTCGCTTCGCTTAGCTGCGCTTAGCTTCGCTTAGCTTCACTTCGCTTCGCTTAGCTTCGCTTAGCTTCGCTTAGCTTTGCTTAGCTTCGCTTAGCTTCGCTTTGCTTAGCTTCGCTTAGATTTGCTTAGCTTCGCTTAGCTTCGTTTAGCTTCGCTTTGCCTCTCTTCGCTTCTCTTCAGTTTGCTTCGCTTAGCTTCGCTTAGCTTCGCTTTGCTTCCCTTAGCTTCGGTTCGCTTCCCTTAGCTTCGCTTCGCTTCGCTTCACTTTGCTTCGCTTCGCTTCGCTTCGCTTCTCTTCGCTTCGCTTAGCTTCGCTTCGCTTCGCTTAGCTTTGCTTTGCTTCGCTTCCCTTTGCTTTGCTTCACTTTGCATAGCTGCGCTTAGCTTTGGTTCGCTTCTCTTCGCTTCTCTTCGCTTTGCTTCGCTTCCCTTAGCTTCGCTTAGCTTCGCCTTGCTTCGCTTAGCTTCGCCTCGTTTCTCTTAGCTTCGCTTAGCTTCGCTTCGCTTCTCTTCGCTTCTCTTCGCTTCGCTTCACTTAGCTTCGCAAAGCTTCACTTAGCTTCGCTTTGCTTCGCTTCGCTTAGCTTCGCTTCGCTTCACTTCGCTTAGCTTCGCTTCCCTTCTCTTAGCTTTGCTTAGCTTTGCTTCGCTTAGCTTCGCTTTGCCTTTCTTCGCTTCTCTTTGCTTCGCCTCGCTTAGCTTCGCTTCGCTTAGCTTCGCCTCGCTTCGCTTCTCTTAGCTTCGCTTAGCTACGCTTCGTTTAGCTTCGCTTTGCCTCTCTTCGCTTCTCTTCGCTTCGCTTCGCTTCGCTTAGCTTCGCTTCGCTTCGCTTCGCTTAGCTTCGCTCCGCTTCTCTTCGCTTTGCTTCTCTTAGCTTCGCTTAGCTACGCTTCGTTTAGCTTCGCTTTGCCTCTCTTCGCTTCTCTTCGCTTCGCTTCGCTTAGCTTCGCTTAGCTTCGCTTAGCTTTGCTTCGCTTTGCTTTGCTTCGCTTCGCTTCGCTTAGCTTCGCTTCGCTTTCGCTTAGCTTTGCTTTGCTTAGCTTCGCTTTGCTTCGCTTAACTTCGCTTTGCTTCACTTAGCTTCTCTTTGCTTAGCTTCGCTTCTCTTCGCTTCGATTAGCTTCGCTTGGCTTTGCTTCGCTTCGCTTCGCTTTGCCTCACTTAGCTTCGCTTAGATTCGCTTGGCTTTGCTTCGATTCGCTTAGCTTTGCTTCGCTTCGCTTAGCTTCGCTTAGCTTCGCTTCCCTTAGCTTCGATTCGCTTCCCTTAGCTTCACTTCGCTTCGCTTTGCTTAGCTTAGCTTTGCTTAGCTTCGCTTCGCTTAGCTTCGCTTAGCTTCGCTTAGCTTCGCTTCGCTTCGCATAGCTGCGCTTTGCTTCGTTTTGCTTCTCTTAGTTTGGCTTCTCTTTGCTACGCTTCTCTTTACTTCTCTTCGCTTCGCTTCGCTGAGCTTCGCTTTGCTTCGCTTCGCTTCGCTTAGCTTCGCTTAGCTTCCCTTCGCTTCGCTTAGCTTCTCTTCACTTTGCTTCGCTTAGCTTCGCTTCGCTTCGCTTAGCTTCGCTTAGCTTCATGTTCGCTTCACTTATCTTCGCTTCGATTAGCTTCGCTTCGCTTCGCTTAGCTTCCTGTTCGCTTCGCTTAGCCTCGCTTTGCTTAGCTTGGCTTCGCTTCGCTTAGCTTCACTTTGCTTCGCTTAGCTTCTCTTAGCTTCGCTTCGCATTGCCTAGCTTCGCCTAGCTTTGCTTAGCTTTGCTTCGCTTCGCTTCGCTAAGCTTTGCTTCGTTTCACTTTGCTTCGCTTCGCTTCGCTTAGCTGCGCTTAGCTTCGCTTAGCTTCACTTCGCTTCGCTTAGCTTCGCTTAGCTTTGCTTAGCTTTGCTTAGCTTCGCTTAGCTTCGCTTTGCTTAGCTTCGCTTAGATTTGCTTAGATTCGCTTAGCTTCGTTTAGCTTCGCTTTGCCTCTCTTCGCTTCTCTTCAGTTTGCTTCGCTTAGCTTCGCTTAGCTTCGCTTCGCTTCCCTTAGCTTCGGTTCGCTTCCCTTAGCTTCGCTTCGCTTTGCTTCACTTCGCTTAGCTTCGCTTAGCTTCGCTTCGCTTTGAATACCTGCGCTCAGCTTCGCTTTGCTTCTCTTAGCTTCGCTTCTTTTCGCTTTGCTCTCTATGCTTCTCTTCGCTTCGCTTCGCTTAGCTTCCCTTCATTTCTCTTCGCTTCTCTTCGCTTCGCTTAGCTTCGCTTTGCTTCGCTTCGCTTCACTTCGCTTTGTTTCGTTTCGCTTCGCTTCTCTTAGCTTCGCTTAGCTTCGCTTCGCTTAGCTTCGCTTTGCCTCTCTTTGCTTCTCTTTGCTTAGCTTCGCTTAGCTTGGCTTAGCTTCGCTTCGCCTCACTTCGCTTAGCTTCGCTTCGCTTCGATTCTCTTAGCTTTGCTTAGCTACGCTTCGCTTTGCCTCTCTTCGCTTCTCTTCGCTTAGCTTCGCTTAGCTTCGCCTAGCTTCGCTTAGCTTCGCTTCGCTTCCCTTAGCTTCGGTTCGCTACCCTTAGCTTCGCTTCGCTTCGCTTCCCATACCTGCGCTTAGCTTTGCTTTGCTTTTCTTAGCTTCGCTTCTTTTCGCTTCGCTTCTTTTTGCTTCGCTTCTCTATGCTTCTCTCCGCTTTGCTTCGCTTAGCTTCGCTTCGCTTCGCTTTGCTTCGCTTTGCTTCGCTTCGCTTCACTTCTCTAAGCTTCGCTTAGCTTCGCTTTGCCTGTCTTCGCTTCTCTTCGGTTCGCTTCGCTTAGCATCGCTTAGCTTCGCTTAACTCCACTTTGCTTCGCTTAGCTTCGCTTTGCATAGCTTCGCTTAGCTTCGCTTCGCTTTGCTTAGCTTCGTTTAGCTTCGCTTGGCTTTGCTTCGCTTCTCTTCGCTAAGCTTCGCTTAGCTTCGCTTGGCTTCGCTTGGCTTCTCTTCGCTTCGCTTCGCTTTGCATCGCTTAGCTTTGCTTCGCTTTGCTTAGCTTCGCTTAGCTTCGCTTTGCTTCGCTTAGCTACGCTAAACTTCGCTTTGCTTTGCTTAGCTTCGCTTTGCTTAGCTTCGCTTTGCTTCGCTTAGCTTCGAATAGCTTCGCTTGGCTTTGCTTCGCTTCGCTTCGCTTGGCTTCGCTTGGCTTCTCTTCGCTACTCTTCGCTTAGCTTCGCTTAGCTTCGCTTAACTTCGCGTTGCTTCACTTAGCTTCGCTATGCTTAGCTTCGCTTCGCTTCGCTTCGCTTCGCTTAGCTTTGCTTAGCTTCGTTTAGCTTCGCTTGGCTTTGCTTCGCTTCTCTTCGCTTAGCTTCGCTTAGCTTTGCTTAGCTTTGTTAGGATTAAGGACGGAGTCTAGGTGAACTTAGGAGCTAGAATTACTCAAAATATAAATCCGAAATTCTGGACAGAAAAGTCGTCCTCACAAGAAACGACGTCGACAAAAATCTAGCCGTTGGAATGTCGCGAAACTTGGATATGTTGTAGCTCTTAAGCTCAGCTACCGTTCCCAATTCGAACCACGTTGATTAATGAAGTATTCGCGACGCTATGGCTTTCGACGCACTAGGGGGTAAGCTGTAGGAGGAGAACTTAACTCAATCTCAAAAGTTTAATCAAAGTTCAAGAATCTCACAAGGAATTAGAGGAGCAAGAGAAAGGTTGGGATAGAAAGAGAGGGATGAGAGGGAAGGTCCCAAGAGAGTCCCCAACCAAGGAAACCCCATTATCACAAAGATTCCCCCCCTATAGGAACCCCAACTTTGACATTTGTCCCTTCCCAACCAATCCATCCAAGTTGGCCACCCTTGCCAACCTAGCTTGGTTGTTCCCAACCAATTTGCAGCTGTTACAGTAGAGTGACAAATTTCCCCAACCCCAAAGGTCCCAACTCCATATAAAGTCACCCCACAACTTCACTTTGTAACCGCCGCAATTGTAACGCAAGCTCATGAACTTTGAATCTTCATAGCTTTCGCGTTCTTGCTCCGATTGAAGCGATTCTTGTTGCGTCGGAAAGATCTTCTCAAGATCTATCATCACAAATACCTGCTCAGACAGAATAACACAAAACACATTCCCAAACTCCAGAACACACCACACACAAATTCTTTCACACAGAGTCAAACCATACATACGAATTGAAACAAGAGATGGGAGGCAGACAGAATGTGATAGCATATGATGACATCACACAACAATCTCCCTCTCTGGCTGCCAACCATCATCCACCATACCAACATCTCAAGCATGCATACTCAATGCACACTCATCCCAGCAAGCTTCATGCCCTTCCAATGATCCGCCTCCGCCAGACGCTTAGTGAAAATATCTGCTGCCTGCTGATGGGTCTTCACTATCTCTAGCCACACCTCCTTATCAAGGAGTCTCCTCACCCAATGCCACTTAGGCCTTATGTCTTTTGTCAGCCCATGCAGACAAGCATTCTTGGCGAGCTTCACTGCAGACTCATTGTTACAGAACACAACTGTCGGCTCCTCCTGACCAACTCCCAACTCCTCCAACAAGCGCCTCAGCCACACCACTTCCTTGACCCAATGGTGTAAGGCCATGTACTCAGTCTCACATGAGGACAATCCCACCTCATTCTGCTTCTTGCTGCGCCAGCTCACAGCACCACCTCCTAGCAAGCACACATAACCCCCAATGCTGGTGCCATCCGCTTTCACTGAGTTGAAGCTAGCGTCAGTATAGCAACTCAAGAGCATCTCTCCACTCTTCACATCTGCAGCACCTCTCTGCAACCGCTGCCTCACTCCACTGTACTCCAATCCCACTGATGCCGTAGCACTCACATAGCAGACCAACCTCTTGGCCGCTTCCAGCTGCTCATGACTAGGGCGTGAGACCACACTAGCCAACCGTGATGTAGCAAATGCAATGTCAGACCGTGTATGATTTGCAGCATAGTTCAGTGACCCAACCATCGAATGAAACAGCTTCCTGTCACTCTCACCCACTACCTCCTCATCAGCACATGGCTCCACAGTAAACCCTAAAGGTAGTGGTGTTGCTGGCTTTCCCCCATCTTGCAGCCCATACTTCTGAGCCAGCCCCTCACAGTACTTCCTTTGGTGCAACCTCAGCACACCCTTTTCCACATCTCTCTCCACATGCATCCCCAAGTAGTACTTCACCTCACCCATCTTGGAGCACTTGAACTGCATCTACAACATCTGCTCTGCGCTGTCCAGCAAAGCAGTTGATGCAGAGAAGAGAAGGATATCATTCACGTACACCAGGAGCATGAGGATTTCATCCTTCTCCTGCAGCAGGAACAGGCTGGGGTCACACTCACTCTTCTTAAAACCCCCAGCCAGCAGCGCCTCCTCCAACTTGTGATACCATGCACGAGGCGCCTGCTTAAGGCCATAGATGGCCTTCTTCAGCCTGCAGACCCTGCCGCTCCCGTCATCCAGCCCCTCTGGCTGCTTCATGTACACCTCCTCCATAATGATCCCATTCAGAAAGGCAGTCACAATATCCATCTGCCGAATCTTCCATCCCAGGAGTGCAGCTATCGCCAACAGCACCCTCAGTGTTGTTCCTTTCCCCACAGGAGCAAACACCTCATCATAGTCCTTCCCCTTTGTCTGCTGAAACCCCCGTGCCACAAGCCTAGACTTGTAGCGGGTCAGCTCCCCTTCAGGTCCATACTTGTGCCTGTAGATCATCTTGGAAGTGATTGCCTTCTTTCCAGGAGGCAAGTCACACAGGTCCCATGTCTCGTTCTCAATTAGGGACCCGAACTCCTCATCCTCACTCGCCTTCCACTTCTCCCCATTTGGTCCATTCAAGGCCTCCTCTCGAGTCTTGGGCTCAGGGCTTGGTGCCCAGTAGCAGTGAGCGATCTCATCTTCCTCAATCTGCTCAACCACACTCCCAGCCTGCACCACATTCGGCTTGCCTCTTCCCCCATAGGTCAGCCTCACCGGAGGGCGCACATCCCTCCTAGGTCGCTCAGGCGGGTGTGGAACGCGAGGTGGAGACTCATGTTGCTACTGCTGCTGCTCCACTTCAGCTGCTCCCCCTTCTTCAGTCACCCCAGACATCTCCTCCTCAGACACTGCAACCTCCACTTGCCTTGAAGGCTGCTGCAACTCATCTGCCTCCACAATCAGTGGTGTAGATGGAAGCTTTTGTTGCTGCTGCTTCCATTCCTTGTAGTACAGGGACTCAAGAAACTTCACATCCCTTGACACTGTTAGCTTCTGGGTGGTCAAGTCCCATAGCAGCCATCCCTTGTGATCCTTTGCAATCCCTAAGTGCACACCCCATCTTCCAGAAGCCTCCAACTTCCCCCTTTTCTCCTTAGGCACATGAAACACCACCATGCACCCAAATGCCCTCGCTTAGATTCGCTTAGCTTCACTTCGCTTAGCTTAGATTCACTTTGCTTTGCTTCGTTTAGCTTCGCTGTGCTTCTCTTAGCTTTGCTTCTCTATGCTTCTTCGCTTGGCTTCGCTTCGCTTAGCTTCGCTTTGCTTCACTTAGCTTCGCTTCGCTTGTCTTCGCTTCTCTTCGCTTCGCTTAGCTTCGATTTGCTTCGCTTCACTTAGCTTTGCTTTGCTTCCCTTAGCTTCAGTTCGCTTCCCTTAGCTTCGCTTAGCTTTGCTTAGCTTCGCTTCGCTTCGCATAGCTGCGCTTAGCTTTGCTTTGCTTCAATTAGCTTCGCTTCTCTTCGCTTCGCTTCTCTATTCTTCTCTTTGCTTCGCTTCGCCTAGCTTTGCTTAGCTTTGCCTTGCTTCGCTTAGATTCGCTTTGCTTCGCTTCCCTTAGCTTCGCTTCACTTCACTTAGCTTCGCTTAGATTTTCTTCGCTTCTCTTCGCTTCTCTTCGCTTCGCTTCGCTTCCCTTAGCTTGGCTTAGCTTCGCCTTGCTTCACTTAGCTTCGCTTTGCTTCGCTTCCCTTCTCTTAGCTTCGCTTTGCTTGGTTTCGCTTCGCTTTGCTTCGCTTTGCTTAGCTTCGTTTAGCTTCGCTTGGCTTTGTTTCGCTTCTCTTCGCTTAGCCTCGCTTGGCTTCGCTTCGCTTCTCTTCCCTTCGCTTCGCTTAGCATCGCTTAGCTTCGCTTCGCTTTGCTATGCTTTGCTTAGCTTTGCTTCGCTTTGCTTAGCTTCGCTTAGCTTCGCTTAGCTTCGCTAAACTTCGCTTTGCTTTGCTTAGCTTCGCTTTGCTTAGCTTCGCTTTGCTTCGCTTAGCTTCATTTAGCTTCGCTTGGCTTTGCTTCGCTTCGCTTCGCTTGGCTTCGCTTGGCTTCTCTTCGCTTCTCTTTGCTTAGCTTCGCTTAGCTTCGCTTAACTTTGCGTTGCTTCACTTAGCTTCGCTATGCTTAGCTTCACTTCACTTCGCTTAGCTTTGCTTAGCTTCGTTTAGCTTCGCTTGGCTTTGCTTCGCTTCTCTTCGCTTAGCTTCGCTTAGCTTTGCTAAGCCTTGCTTCGCTTCGCCTTGCTTCGCTTAGCTTCGCTTAGATTCGCTTTGCTTCACCTAGCTTCGCTATGCTTAGCTTCGCTTCGCTTCGCTTAGCTTCACTTCGCTTCGCTTAGCTTCGTTTAGCTTCGCTTGGCTTTGCTTCGCTCTTCTTCGCTTAGCTTCGCTTAGCTTTGCTTAGCTTCGCTTCGCTTCGCTTTGCTTCGCTTAGCTTCGCTTAGATTCGCTTCGCTTTGCTTCGCTTCGCTTTGCTTCGCTTCGCTTAGCTTCGCTTAGCTTTCTTTGCTTCGGTTTGCTTCCATTAGCTTCACTTCGCTTCGCTTAGCTTCGCTTCGCTTCGCATAGCTGCGCTTAGCTTCGTTTTGCTTCTCTTAGCTTCGCTTCTCTCGCTACGCTTCTCTTTGCTTCGCTTCGCTTACCTTCGCTTTGGTTCGCTTAGCTTCGCTTAGATTCGCTTAGCTTTGCTTCGCTTAGCTTCCCTTAACGTTGCTTTGCTTCGCTTAGCTTCGCTTTGCTTAGCTTCGCTTCGCTTCTTTTCGCTTAGCTTCGCTTAGCTTTGCTTAGATTCGCTTAGCTTCGTTTAGCTTTGCTTCGCTTCGCTTTCCTTAGCTTCTGTTCGCTTCTCCTAGCTTCGCTTAGCCTTGCTTCGCTTCGCATAGCTGCGTTTAGCTTAGCTTAGCTTCGCTTCCCTTAGCTTTGCTTCGCTTCGCATAGCTGCGCTTAGATTCGCTTCGCTTAGGTTCGCTTAGCTTCGATTAGCTTCGCTTCGCTTCGCTTTGCTTCCCTTAGCTTCAGTTCGCTTAGCTTCACTTTGCTTTGCTTCGCTTCGCTTCGCTTCGCATAGCTGCGCTTAGCTTCGTTTTTCTTCTCTTAGCTTCGCTTCTCTTCCGACGCTTCTCTTTGCTTCTCTTCGCTTTGCTTCGCTTAGCTTCGCTTAGCTTCGCTTCGCTTAGCTTCGCTTCGCTTCGCTTAGCTTCGCTTAGCTTCGCTTAGATTCGCTTAACTTCGCTTCGCTTCGCTCAGCTTTCTTTCGCTTCGCTTAGCTTTGCTTCGCTTAGCTTCCCTTAACTTTGCTTACCTTCGCTTAGCTTCGCATCGCTTCGCTTCGCTTCTCTTCGCTTAGCTTCGCTTAGCTTTGCTTCGCTTCGCTTAGCTTCGCTTAGATTCGCTTAGCTTCGCTTCGCTTCGCATTGCTTTGCTTTGCTTCGCTTAGCTTCGCTTCGCTTTGCTTTCCTTAGCTTCCGTTCGCTTCTCTTAGCTTCGCTTTGCCTAGCTTCGCTTCGCATAGCTGCGCTTAGCTTAGCGTCCCTTAGCTTCAGTTCGCTTCCCTTAGCTTCACTTCGCTTCGCTTAGCTTTGCTTCGCTTCGCATAGCTGCGCTTAGCTTCGCTTCTCTTCGCTTCGCTTCTCTTTGCTACTGTTTGCTCTGCTTCGCTTCGCTTAGCTTTGCTTCGCTTAGCATCGCTTAGATTGCTTCGCTTCGCTTAGCTTCGCTTAGATTCGCTTAGCTTCACTTCGCTTAGCTTAGATTCGCTTTGCTTCGCTCGCTTAGATTCGCTTAGCTTCGCTTAGCTTCACTTCGCTTAGCTTAGATTCGCTTTGCTTTGCTTCGCTTAGTTTCGCTGTGCTTCTCTTAGCTTCGCTTCTCTATGCTTCTCTTCGCTTGGCTTCGCTTCGCTTCGCTTTTCTTCGCTTCTCTTCGCTTCGCTTAGCTTCGATTTGCTTCGCTTCACTTAGCTTTGCTTCGCTTCCCTTAGCTTCGGTTCGCTTCCCTTAGCTTCGCTTAGCTTTGCTTAGGTTCGCTTCACTTCGCATAGCTGCGCTTAGCTTTGCTTTGCTTCAATAAGCTTCGCTTCTCTTTGCTTCTCTTTGCTTCGCTTCGCCTAGCTCCGCTTTGCTTCTCTTTGATTCGCTTTGCTTTGCTTGCCTTAGCTTCGCTTCATTTCGCTTAGCTTCGCTTAGCTTTGCTTCGCTTCTCTTCGCTTCTCTTCGCTTCGCTTCGCTTCTCTTTGCTTCGCTTCGCTTCTCTTCGCTTCGCTTCGCTTCCCTTAGCTTCGCTTAGCTTCACCTTGCTTGGCTTCCCTTCTCTTAGCTTCGCTTAGCTTCGCTTTGCTTTGCTTCGCTTCTCTTCGCTTCGCTTCTCTTAGGTTCGCTTTGCTTTGCTTTGCTTCGCTTAGCTTCTCTTAGCTTTGCTTCGCTTTGATTAGCTTCGCCTAGCTTCGCTGTGCTTCTCTTAGCTTCGCTTCTCTATGCTTCTCTTCGCTTCGCTTTGCTTTGCTTCGCTTCGCTTGTCTTCGCTTCTCTTCGCTTCGCTTAGCTTCGATTTGCTTCGCTTCACTTAGCTTTGCTTTGCTTCCCTTAGCTTCGGTTCGCTTCCCTTAGCTTCGCTTAGCTTTGCTTAGCTTTGCTTAGCTTCGCTTCACTTCGCATAGCTGCGCTTTGCTTTGCTTTGCTTCAATTAGCTTCGCTTCTCTTCGCTTCACTTCTCTTTGCTTCTCTTTGCTTCACTTCGCCTATTTTCACTTAGCTCCGCCTTGCTTTGCTTAGATTCGCTTTGCTTCGCTTCCCTTAGCTTCGCTTCACTTCGCTTAGCTTCGCTTAGCTTTGCTTCACTTCTCTTCGCTTCTCTTCGCTTCGCTTCGCTTCCCTTAGCTTCGCTTAGCTTCGCCTTGCTTCGCTTAGCTTCGCTTCGCTTCGCTTCCCTTCTCTTAGCTTCGCTTAGCTTCGCTTTGCTTGGCTTCGCTTCTCTTCGCTTCTCTTCGCTTAGCTTCGCTTCGATTCGCTTAGCTTCGCTTCGCTTAGCTTCGCTTAACTTTGCTTTGCTTCGCTTAGCTTCGCTTTGCTTTGCTTAGCTTCGCTTTGCTTCGCTTAGCTTCGCTTTGCTTCGCTTAGCTTCGCCTAGCTTCACTTCGCTTCGCTTCGCTTAGCTTCGCTTCGCTTCACTTAGCTTTGCTTCGCTTCGCTTAGCTTCGCTTCGCTTCCCTTAGCTTCGCTTCCCTTAGCTTCGCTTCGCTTCCCTTAGCTTCGCTTCGCTTCGCTTAGCTTCGCTTAGCTTCGCTTCGCTTCGCATAACTTTGCTTAGCTTTGCTTTGCTTCTCTTATATTCGCTTCTCTTCGCTTCGCTTCTCTATGCTTCTCTTCGCTTAGCTTCGCTTCGCTTCTCTTCGCTTCTCTTCGCTTCGCCTCGCTTCGCTTAGCTTCGCTTAGCTTCGTTTAGCTTCGCTTTGCTTAGATTCGCTTAGCTTCACTTCGCCTAGCTTTGATTAGCTTCGCTTAGCTTCGTGTTCCCTTTGCTTAGCTTCGCTTCGCCTCGCTTCGATAAGCTTCGCTTTGCTTCGTGTTCGCTTCGCTTAGCCTCGCTTCCCTTAGTTTTTTTTAACTTCGCTTAGCTTTGCTTCGCTTCGCTTTGCTTAGCTTCGCTTAGCTTCGCTTAGCTTTGCTTCGCTTCGCTTAGCTTTGCTTAGCTTCGCTTCGTTTCGCTTTGCTTTGCTTCACTTAGCTTCGCTTCGCTTCGCATAGCTTCGCTT